ATATAGCCGAAATGTGGTGTCTACTCATACGAATTTAACATCCCAACTAAACTATTCTCACATCCTTACTACAATGGACACTTCAGAGGAATCGATCATAACATCGCCGGATCAACTACCAAGAAGCGTTGATTACACCTTAAAAGATACATTAAATATACAAGAAATAAAAGAAACAATAAATAAATTATCATTGGAGTTAGCAAGTAGGCAAAATGAACTAGATGATATGATGTTAGAAAATAACGCTCTCAACAGGCAGATAAACAAATTGACTAAAGAAAACGATACACTCAAATCTTTGTGTCAATCGCTACCGCAAAAAAATCTAAATTGTAGCACCCATAAAGGAAGAAGAACTTCATTGCACTCTCCAATTTCACCTTTCAAGACGCCTAATTCCCAATCGACTGTTGAAAAAAAAAACCGATGGTAACGGTACTAAGGTAGACATTATAACTTCTCTACAGCTAAGAATAACACATTTAGAAGAACAGCTGTATCAGGCTGAAAAAGAAATTACAGAGTTGAACAAAAACTCTGCCTTCTGAATCATGACGCATTTGTGCCTAATACTGCCATTTCGACCTGTAAAAATAGAGATATTAAGCAAGCAGACATTGATGAGATATTAATTTTTGGCACTCAACAATGCACTAACTTGGCGGCAGCATTAACACGTTCTAGACAAAACTCGAAGTATGGAAATTATAGAGTAAAGGTGTTCACGAAACCCTCTGCACCGAGTACCGAAGTACTACGAAATTGCCAAAATCTTCTTCTCAAGCCAAATGATAAACTGGTTATATATGTTGGAGAGAATGATTATGACTTGGAAATACTATATAAGCAGTTACAGAGTTTATTTAAAAAGTATGTAAATAACAACATTATTGTGCTAAATATCTTTAATAATGACTATATCAATTTCACTGACGTATATTATACAATTCAAATGTTATGTAATCGATTTAAAAATTGCCATTTTGTTAAATGTAATAATAACAATTTATTTTCATTATGTAAATCTATAAACTACACTATTGACTGTATTGATTATAATGAAAAATTTTTAAATATAAGAAACTTAAAAAACTTGGTGATAGGCAGTAAACCAAACCTGACATTAAAAAATCAGAATATTATCCGAAAGGGAACAATACCCTACTATTTCCCACCCAAAAAGACTGATATTGACCTGGTTAGATTGAGCCCCGTTGATCCTGTTACACGCCAAAATGTTACATCTAAGAAAAAGGGCACTATCCCACACTACTTTCCCGTAATTAATAAAAATGATTTATTTCGAGGATAAGTTACAATATTTTAAAAAGTTACAATATTTTAATATCATGCATCAAAACATAGCTAGTATATTATCAAAACAATCGCTTAACGTTGTGTGAACTATTTGGGAAAGATAAAATCCCAGAAATAATATGCCTTTCAGAAACTTTTTTAAAAGCTTGTTACAAGAACTATTTAAAAATAAATGGCTATACCTTGGCCGCTGCTTTTTGTAGGGATAAGAATAGAGGTGGTACGTGTATCTTGACAAAAAACAATATTAATTTCACCGAACTCACACACTTACAAACATATGCTATGCAAAAAGTTTTTGAGGTATGTGGCATAGAAATATCTTTTCGCAAGCTAATTGTTATTTGTATTTACAGAACCCCTTTCTCTGACCCTACCATATTTCTAAATAAATTGAGCTATTTACTACATGATTTATCAAAAAAAGTAAAACCAAATTACAACATTGTTATAGTAGGTGATTTTAATATAAATACCTTGAAACCTGGCAGCCTAACATGCCACTCAAAAGATCTTTGCAATAACTATAATTTGAAGCTCCATATCGATGTTCCAACTCGGAAAGAGTCGTTCATAGATCACATCCTTAGTAATGTGAAGGACGCTACTGCTCATGTACTGCCTCTCTGTCTGTCGGATCATGAAACAGCGCAACTACTGAGTATTCCGATCCAAAAAAATATTCCTAACACAGAAAAATCCTACTACTCATTCAAAAAAGACTATTCTTTAGAAAATATTAAAAAGTTTAAGGAATGCTTGAATAGCCTCTCTTGGGCTGAAGTATATAGTGAACCTAACTTGAATATAGCCTTCAATAATTTTCATTCGAACTTCAAGTTGTTCTACGATTTGTGTTTTACAACTAAAAAAGTAAAGGTTAATAACTCAAATAAAAACAATCGCATGTGGTTTAGTAAAGGCTTACTAAAAAGTTGTAACACAAAGAGAAAACTCCGATATAACTATTATACACATAAATCAGCAAGCAATAGATAGAAATATTTTACATATTCAAATATCCTAAAAAATGTATAAATAAATCTAAGAGACTTGCAAACATTAAATTTATTCAAAACAGTAATAATAAATGTAAAGCAACGTGGTCTATAATAAAAAATGAAATAGGTATAACACAAAGCGAAGCTTCTGTTGACTATCTAAAAATTGACGACTCCGACATAGCAAACCCGGAAGAAATATCCCAAATATTTAGCAACTACTTTACAAACATCGGAAAAATTATGTAAACAATGCTGAAGGCTCTTATATTACGAACAATTTTAACTTAAGCACAATGTTCCTTAAACCCATGTCAGCAAATGAAGTAAAATTAGAGGTAATGACCTTAAATAAAACCAACTCTGTAGGCTACGATGGCAAAAATACACACATATTGAAGTCATGCATTGATAAAATAATTAACATTTTGACTCATTTTGTCAATTTGTCATTCTCATCAGGAAGCTTTCCAGAAACATTAAAGTCCTCCATTGTAAAGCCTATACACAAACGTGGCAACAGAAACGTTGTTAGCAATTATCGCCCAATTACCCTTGTATCTATACTTTCAAAAGTATTTGAAAAGCGTATGTATAAAAGGCTCCTAGAATTTTGCAATAAGTTTAACATTATAAATAAAAATCAATATGGCTTTCAAAAACATAAATCGACTAACTTAGCTGTTCATCACCTAATCAATACATTGTTGACCAATATTAATGATAATTATTTGACTACGGGACTGTTTTTTGACTTGACTAAGGCATTTGACTTCGTATCACACGATCTATTATTAAATAAATTGGAATAAGGGGTATTAAGTTGCAATGGATTGCTTCGTATTTAACAAATCGTACTCAATGTGTCACGATAACAAAACCAATCAATAAAGAATTAAGAACATATAAATCCAACTGCATTGAAAATATTAATTGTGTTCCACAAGGCAGTATCTTAGGGCCCATATTGTTTATATTATATATTTATGACATATCTGATGCGATAAGTCATGAATGTATTACATACGCTGATGACATTTCGGTTATAGTTAGGACTAAAAAAAATAAGAATTCAATATATAATCACGAATTGGACATAAATAATACAATTGATAATATAATTGAATGGCTACAAGCTCACAATTTAAAAATTAACTTGACAAAATCAAATTTTATTCATTTTAATAAGTCAAAACATAACCAATACAATTTCAAGCTAAACATTACAAAAATCAATCAAATAGAAGAAACAAAATTTTTAGGTGTTGTCATAGACCAGAATCTGAACTGGAAAGCACATATCGATGAAGTTTGTAATAAAGTAAACAAATGTTGTTACGCGCACAACCAAATAAAAAAAGTGACTGACATAAAAACATCTGTTATGACTTACCGAGCATATGCCGAGTCTATACTCCGTTATGGACTGGTGATGTGGAGAAATAGTTCGGATTGGAATCGGGCTTTTATTGGGCAGAAAAAATGCATTAGGGCAATCTGCGGAGTACGACCCCATGAATCGTGTCAGCCTCTATTTAAAGGTCTTGGGATACTGCCACTACCAACGATATATATTTTAGAAGTTTGTGTTTTTGTGCAGAGACACAAACAATTATTTGAAAAAGCTTGTGAGGTACAGACTACTCGCTCACGTAGGGACCCACACAAGCTAGTACTTAAGGATATACCTAAATCACAAAAATATGGCAAAAGTTGCCTTACCATGTGTGTCCGAATATATAGCAAACTCCCTGACGAACTTAAAACCCTAAATATTACATTGTTCAAAAAGAAATTGTACAAATGGCTGAATGAAAATAATTTATATAGTGTAAAACAATTCTTAGAAAAAAATTAGATTATGTACTGGATAACATTTATTTAAAAAAATCATTTAATTATTGTAATAAATATAAAATAATAAAATATAGTATTGTACAATATATCTTTGATTAAGCTGTGCGACTATTACTAGGTATTGAAATTGACATGTAATTAATTATTATAATATTACTCGTATTTCTCTTTGTTAACTAAAACAGGTGACTACTTCAAATAGTTAAAGAAAATTTGACATTGTTTAAATATATTTGCATGCTATGTAAAATAAGCAAAACATGAGCGCTCGATTTTTACCTGTGAACAACATATATACCATGTTTTACGCAAATAAAGATTATTATTATTATTTATAATTTGGGGCATCTATATAGTTTACTCATCTGGTTGGGCTGTATAAATACATAATTCTAAATGAAAATGATAAACATACATAAATATCAACAAAATAGAATAAATGCATAAAAAATACATAAATAAATAAAAACCCAACTAGATGGAAGCCCTTGGCAGGGGAGACCAAACGGCCGAGGGTTAGGGGGAAAGGGAAAGAAACCGGCGGACGATGCGGGCGGTATCGAGGAGCACCGCCTTCTGAATTTGAGCTTGGAGCGGTCCGTCACGGAGTTCTAGTCGCCTCAGATGACCCGAGAGGCTGACTGGCATTAACCCGTTCGCAGAAACGACTACAGGTATAATTTCGGCCGGCAGACCACCCCACATGTCGGTCACCTCGTGAGCCAGGTTCAGATATTTGGTTCGCTTATCTGTTTCGGCTTTCACGAGGTTCTCGTCATAGGGAATTATTATTATTATTATTTTCTTTTTTTTTCTCCTTTTGGGTTCACAACTCTTAGATCGGCTTTTAGCAAGATACAAAGAGGTTGTGTTTTATAGGGCAAGATGCTTCCTCACAATGGCAGTTGTCCTTAGGATAACAGCTTTTTGAATATTGTTCCTAACGGACATTGGTAGGTCTAGCTTAGCAAGATTTTCGTTAAGCTGCTGCGGTATTATTCCTGTAGTTGAAATTATGAGGGGAAGGACTTCTACTTCATCCTGAAGCCACATTTGTCTCACTTCTTCAGCAAGCGGTTGGTATTTTGTCTTTTTTTCCATTATATATTGCTGAATATTATGCGAGTTAGGAACCCCAATGTCTAACAGACAAGCCCGTTTCTCCTTTTTATAAAGAATTATAATATCTGGCCGATTATGGGGGACGGACCGGTCTGTTAGGACTGATCTATCCCAATATACGTTGAATGTTGTCATTTTCCAGCACGGGACTAGGGGAGTATTTCCAGTACGGGTAGTCATCCTTCAATAGATCATATTTTCGGCCCAGTGCTAGATGGATTATTTTGGCGACATCGTTATGACGCTGAGTGTATTCTGATGCAGCAAGAGCCTGGCACGAACCCGTGATATGTTGGATCGTTTCAGATTTCTGATAGCATCGTCTGCATAGGTCATCTTCGACATTTGTTTTGGCTATGTATTTTAGGTAATTTTTTGTCGGAATTACTTGATCCTGTATTGCTATCATAAAACCCTCAGTTTCTGCAAACAGTTCCCCGCGGCGCAACCAACTGGTCGACGCCGCAATATCAATGTGAGGGCCTCTAAGCTCGTGGGCAAACCTTGTTACTGTCATTCATAGGGGGGTATTTGCCATAGTTGCCACGCTTGGCGAGCGGGTTGGCAACCGCAGTTTTTTTATTGTTAGTTTGTTATTATCAAGAAGATGCTGCTGCCCATCTCCTGCCTGTTTCCCTTTGTCGCCTTTTACGACACCCACGGGAGGATATGGGGTAGTGGATATTCTTGACCGCCACTACACGGCAATCCTGATCCTGTAGTGCTATCATAAAACCCTCAGTTCCTGCAAACAGTTCCCCGCGGCGCAACCAACTGGTCGACGCCGCAATATCAACGTGAGGGCCTCTAAGCTCGTGGGCAAACCTTCCATGTAGTGGTTTTGAGGCCCACTGGTTAAGTTTGGCCTTAAGGTATTCGGCATCAGCAACCAAGGGCTCAACTTCTTTAGAATGAAGAAGATCCAGTCGAGTATAGCCATTATCCGCTAAAGTAACTGTTTGGTGTAAGGGAGACGACTCTTTGCTGAGAAAGTAATTTTGCAAGTTTTTTATTAGCTTGGAATAAAGCCGCCTTAGGTCAACGAGACCTCTTCCCCCTTCAGCTCTTGGCAAAGTTACTCGATCAGTAGCGGATTTAGGATGATGGAACCAATATTTTGTCAATAATACACGGGTAGTTCTCTCAATATTCCCGATATCGGTGTCTGTCCATTTTACAATTCCGAAGGTGTAAGTTATTGTTGGCATTGCGAAAGTGTTGATTGCCTTGAAGATGTTTTTGCTCTTAAGAACCGTTCCGAGAATTTCTTTGAGCCTACGGTAGTATTCTTTACATATCCGAGATTTTATTTCCTTGTGGTCGATTCGAAGAGTTTGGAGTAAACCAAGATATTTGTAATTGTCATCTTTAGCCATCGCATCAATTATACCACCATCCTGAAGGTCGTAGCCTTCTGCCTTTTTGACCTTTCCCCTATCAAGACTTAAAGTACGACACTTTTCCAGGCCAAAAGACATTTTAATGTCATTCGAGAACTGCTCAGTACTTTGCAGTAAGCCTCTAAGTTCACTAGCATTAGCAGCGTACAACTTTATGTCGTCCATGTACAAAAGATGGTTAAGTTTGAACTCTATCCCAGTACTGCCCTTAATGAGAAACCCGTAACCTGTATTGTTTAATATTGCAGATAACGGATTCAGAGCAAGACAAAACCAGAGGGGACTTAAACTGTCACCCTGAAAAATTCCTCGACGTATGTGAATGTAGTTCGTTTTGATGTTATAACCCTTTAAACTAAGAGAAAGTTCAGTACGCCAATACGACATAATATGTTTAAGCAATGCTGCTACCTTAGGATGGATCTTATACATATTAAGGACTTGTATCAACCAGGAGTGCGGCACGGAGTCAAAAGCCTTGCGATAGTCAATATATGCCACGTGGATATTTCTAGATTTGTGGTATGCTTGCTCTGTGACCACAGAATCTACTATAAGTTGTTCTTTACAGCCTTGCGACTTCTTTATACACCCCTTTTGCTCAATAGCTAGTATCGGCTGTAGGTCTAAGTGCTCATAAATTTTCGCTGTCAAATATCATGTCAGGGTTTTATAAAGTGTACAGAGGCAGGTAATAGGTCGGTACTTTGTGGGGTTAGCAATATCATCATCCTTTGGCAGCAGATATGTAATACCGGTGGAAAGATATGGAGGGAAAGCCTCAGGACTTTGAAGGAAAGAATTGAAGCACTTTGATAGAAGGTCGTGTAAGGTAGTGAATTTTTTGATCCAGTAGTTATGAATACCATCGGGACCGGCAGCCTTCCAGTTATGCATTTTAATCACTGATTTTGTGACATCATCCACTGTAAAGCTCACAGATTCCATTGGGATGGTGTTAGTCAGGCGCTCGTCTTCCAGACTAATCCAGCTAACATCTTTGCGGTGTCTCACACTTTCAGACCAGATTCCTTTCTATAAGTCTTCTATATTCTTTAGGGAGAGAGGCTGAGTGTTACTCAAGTTATTACTGGGATTCGATCGGAGTCGCCTATAAAATTTATTTTCACTGCGATCAAAGATAGCGTTGTCTATTTTTCTTTTTTGTGATGCACGATATCTCCTAAGCCGATTAGCCTTGACAGCTTACTTCTGTTTTAATGTGTCCAATATCTCCTCAGGAGTTATTTATATTAGTTATTATTGTTGTTGGGGTATCTATAACGTTTTCTCATCTGGTTGGGCAGTATAAATATATAATTGTAAATGAAAATGGTAAACATACATAAATATGAATAAAATAAAATAAATACATAAAAAATACATAAATATATAAAAACCCAACCAGATGGAAGCCCTCGGCAGGGGAGACCAGACGGCCGAGGGTTAGGGGGAAAGGGAAAGAAACCGGCGGACGATGCGGGCGGTATCGAGGAGCACCGCCTTCTGCATTTGAGCCTGGAGCGGTCCGTCACGGAGTCCCAGTCACCTCAGATGACCCGGTAGGCTGACTGGGATTAACCCGTTCGCAGAAACGATCACAGGAATAATTTCGGTCGGCAGACCACCCCACATACCGGTACCTCATGAGCCAGGTCCAGATATTTTGTCACCTTATCTGTTTCGGCTTTCACGAGGTTCTCGTCATAAGGAATGGTAATGTCGACCAAAAAGATCCTTGACTGTGCCCGGTCCATCAGCACAATATCAGGCTTATTCGAAAGAATAGTCCTGTCTGTGATGATGGCCCGGTCCCAGTAGAACCTGGCGCGGTCATTTTCGAGCACGGCTTCCGGCAAGTACTTATAATACGGCAGTTTCCGATCCACGAGGCCGTATTTCAGAGCGAGCTCCTGGTGTAGAATCCTGGCTACTAGATTGTGTCTGTGCAAATACTCAGAGTTAGAAAGCGCCAAATAACCGGAGATGACATGCCTAAGTGACTCACCGGGATGGCGACAAGCTCGACAGACGTCGACGGTGCCATCCTTTAGGATGTATCTCCGATAATTGTTGGTCTTAATAACCTGATCCTGTATCGCACAGACAAAACCCTCGGTTTCCCCAAAGAGGTCACCGAAACGTAGCCAGTGAAGGGAGGCGACTGTGTCTACGAAAGGCTCATGTAGAGCCTTGTAGAACCTCCCGTGGAGCTCCTTCTCCTTCCATACGGTCTCCCGGTTGGAAATGCTCTGTACTGCCGGGTCTTGCGGTTAGTCCTTTATCACAAGAAATAACGTCTCTATAGTATGAATCATCCGCTCTCGTCAGAAAGTAATTACGGAGACTGCACACTTCGTGATTATGCATGGTAAGTGCGCTTGAAAATCCGCGCCCACCATGCTTCCGCGGCAAGTACAGCCTCATTACTAACGATCTCGGATGATGCCTCCTGTGGGACATCATAATAGTGCGGACTTTTCTGTCCAGAGCGTTCAGTTCGGTCTGAGTCCACCTGAGTATGCCAAAGGTATACATGAGAACAGGCATTATCCAACCGTTATATGCGTGCGTCTTATTCACACCGGACAAAAGGCTGTTAAACACTTTGTTCAAGCGTGCATAAAACACATCGCAAACTGACCGTTTCATACCCACCTCATCTACACCGATGTTCTGTGACATACCCAGGTATCGGTATCTTTCAGCCTCGGAAAGTGTCCTTATGTTGATGGGCATAGATAAGTCTATGCCCTCAGAGTTAGCAACCCTTCCCTTTTCAACATGGAAGACCGCACACTTATCCGTCCCCAGCTCCATTCTAATAGAATTACTATAATCACAAGTGATACTGAAATCCCCTCTCCCGGAGTCCTCCAGTAAGGTACTGAGAGGGTTTAGGGAGAGGCAAAACCAGATTGGACTCAAACGATTGCCCTGGAAGATACCCCTTCTTATCCTTATGCGGCTTTCTGCATCCGTCATCCGCTCGCCTAGATGACAAAAGATTTTACTCCACTGCCACATACACTGCCCGAGGAAGTCTTTAACTGTACAGTAAACCTTGTACAGTTCGAGGACCCTCTTTAGCCATGTATGGGGCACCGAGTCGATTGCCTTTATATAGTCTATTCAGGCGGCGGAGAAGTTCCGACAGTTGCGTTTAACCAGTTTGCCAACGACCGCGTCAATGAGGAGTGGTTCCTTGGTTCCACGACCACCATCCGGGCATCCACTTTGAGCACGCGACATCACCAGATTTTAATCCAGCTGACAAATGATCCCGTACTCAAAATGGATGTCAATGTCTTATATATGGTGGGTAGACAAGTAATGGGGCGGTATTTGCTTGGGTCTGTGGAATCCCGGTCTTTAGGAACCAAATGAGTGATCCCAGTAGTGAAGAGGCTCCGAAGTGACTTTTGGTCGAGGGCCGCTTGAAACTGTCGTGCGAGTAGTGATGCAGTCCGTCGAGTCCCGGACTTATTACATTATTATTATTATTATTACAAATACACAAAGGTAAACATTATAGGTAGCGGGGGGCCGAAGTGGAAAAACTTCGTTTCTGCCATAGATCGCCTTATGTTATGTGTTTGCTTGTAGCTAACGCCCTGGTCCAGTGCGAGTTGGTAAGCCTGTAAATCTGTATTAGCGTCTCAAAATAGTCTTGCCTTCATGAACAATATCTCTCAAATGACAAAATGTATATTAGACATTAAAGAGTGTTGTCACATCTTGTCTTATAAACACATGGATGAAACCTAGGGTGAAAGTTAATCCATCATAAACCTAAGAAAAATAAAGATAATAGAAAAAATATGTGCAGTTCACACGCGGTAGAAGTGAAACCTTCAAATAAAATGAAATATAAAATAAAAATATTTCACAACAAATTATTTATTTAATAAGATGATTTTCAACCACAACTGAGGCCTAAAATATAAGATGAAAGTTTAACTATAAACTAAATAAATGCTACAACCCTTATTCTTAAACTTAATTTTGTTGTAATAAATCAAAAGAATATTTTATTTCTAATAAAATTGCTTTGTAATAGCGCCATTCACTTCATTCTATATTTAGTCTTTTTATCAAACAAAATTTGATTGACCCTCAAGGTGGTACGTACAATAGAGGCTAGATGGCATGAATTTATGAGATCGTGGATTGGAATAAATGGACCTGTTTTAATAAGATAAATTTATTCAATATAGTTAATTTAAACTATTTAGTAAATTTGTTAATTTTTAACTGTTTATTTTAATAGTTAAAATTTTATATTATTCATCTTTAAAGCACCGCACAAAGAGGAGACCGAAATAATAGGAAAGACTATTTAAAAAAATACCATTGTACATATATAAACATTACTAAAATTCACCTTACGCACTATTATTAATAATAATAATATGGCGTAGGAAAATGACGACCCCATCGCCCGCTGACATAACGCAATGGCCCGCATGTGCACATGACCTTACCATGAAACAGTGCCTGGTCTGGGCGTCTGCCGTTAACTGACGCCCATTAAATGGATGATGGAAAACAGAAGAACGCGCAAAGGGCCGCTGCCTGAAGGTCACCAGGGCGCATCTGGAGCTGGCGCTGGACGCGACAGCATGCGAACCGCCAGCCGAGCGCGAGATGCTGCACGACCACTCAGCAGCCCCTCGCATCCATCACCCCCACCAGCTGGCTTGGGCAGGGTCTGCGCGGGCTCAGCAACAGAGTTGTTTTACAGTGGTAGAGCCACGCGGCGAGCTTTTGCTGTCGCACGGATGGGCCAGCTCAAACCGGGATGGTACCACGACCTCACGGAAAACCAGCGTGAAGTAGAGGTTTACCTCTGCATTTCGCTTGGTGAGTGCAGGTGGCCGGAGGCCCTTTTTACTGGAAATGAGGCATTCCATCTTAGTCCTCACGGGTGACAACGCATCTACATTTTGATTTGTAATAGAGAATAGATGTAGATGTCTATGGACCGCAGCAACCACTTACCATCAGGTGGACTGTGTGCTCGTTTGTCACCCTTAACCTATAAAAAAAAATCAGCACCCGCCACTGATGGAGTACGCCGCATGCGTTGGACGAAGCAGATGAATAACAACGCATTGCAGGCGTACTTTAGGGCGAAAGGAGGAAAATTGGACGTTTTGCGTGCGGCTATGATGCATCGACATTTTGCTGAGCTGGAGCCATCTATAACCATCACCGAGCAAAACCTGGCAGACCGAGTTCGGTATATCTTGCGCTCAAACATATTTGATGGTACCGAAATTGAACGGCTACGAAGTGAGGTTGTATCCTTATCGGATGAAAATACTACGGCTGAGGATGCGGCGTCACAAGTTGCAGAGCAACAAGCACACGTGGATGCCACCGTGAATCCCCCAGTTGTGTTTGATTCAGAGGTTTGTGCAACAGTTGCCCAGGAACTAGAACTAGAGCAAATGAGGAGTATATTTGAAGAGGCGATTGAGGAACCGCGCAGGACGCCGCATCGAAAATCGACCGCGACTTCCCCGCATAACCCTAAACAAGTGGAATCGTGCTGTCGTAAGGGCTCTTAACCCAATGCTGGTGACCTATTTGGAAGCCAGCCGGGACCTTTGCGAGACGGACTGCATCACTACTGGCTGAAGGGGTTCGTGGTGTGTCACGCTGTATTCACCTGACGGTTTCTAGAGGCTCTCGACGAAAAGTCGCTCCCGAGCCTCTTCACTACTGGGATCACTCATTTTGTTCCTAAAGACTATGATTCCACAGACCCTGGCAAATACCGCCACATTACGTGTCTAGCCACCATATATAAGATTCTGACATCCATTTTGAGAACGCAAATCATTCATGATTTAAAGGATTTAAGCTAGGTGATGTCGTGTGCTTAAAATGGATGTCGATGCGGTAGACGTGGAACCAACGCAGATGCAGACATTGGCAAGGTGGTTAAACGCAATCGCCGGAACTTTTCCGGCGCTTGGGTAGACTATAGAAAGGCATTCGACTCGGTGCCTCATACATGGCTAAAGAGGA